TTTATCAAAAATTCCTAGAAGGAAGGACTCCGGTTTGTACTCAATCTGTTCCATGGTTATTTCCTCTAGCCAGTGCCTAATTTTTTGCCAATACTTCTGGGTTTCCTTGCATGACCACCACATGTGGAAGAAGGTACCTTCTATGTTTTGACATTTCCAACACTTGGGGCTCGTGTTGGGGTGCATCTTGGCCAATCTCGAAGGAGGCAGGTGCCATCTATAAAACATTTTATATAAGTTTTCTTTATAAGCTGCTGATTTCATGATCTTAATGTTCCTGTTCCAGACCTTTTCCCATTCTGCTAGGGTAATGCTCCGACCCACAGAAATATGGAAGATTTTCATCAGTTGACAAGATGAACTTGAATAAGAATAATAACTTTATTGACTACTGTTAATAACTATTGTTTGGTTTTTTATTTAAAGACAGTAATAAGTAAAATATGAAATATAGATGATTAAAGTGAAAGAATTGATATTACTAGGTAATGTTTGTTAAAAGAAATAGAAATGTAAAAGACTTATTAATATTAATGGCAGAGCTGTACTTGAATAATTATTCCATTTGCTATTGTTATACATATATACACAGATATACATATATACTTTTTTCTTTTAAAAATTTAGTGTGTATTTTAAGGGAATGTACCAAGTAGAATTCGATTGAAAATAGGTGTTAGAAAATAGAGGTTAGAAAATGAATGTTATAACTGTAAAGATGTAACTTTAATTTTTAAATAAGATTTGAAAAAAGATACAAAGGTGTTACAACACTCCAGTCTAGTAATTACAGGAGAAAATTTGTTTTATGTGAAAACATAATGTGAAATTGTAAACAGGATAGACAAAAGTATAAAAACATTGATAAGAAAGATTTTAAAAATTAGAAAAAGATATGTAATTGAATTAAGAAAGGAATGAGATAATTTAAAATAAGGCTATAGGAAGTAAAGTAAGGGAAAAGCTATTGAAAAAATTGTGAAAATAGTTATAAGATATGTATGGAGAAGTAATAACCCAGGGCCACACTGTTCTCAAAAAAAGACATTTTATTTGTATTTGTATGTTTTGTGAAAATTAAATAAAACTTTTATTTAAAAAAACTTGGAGAAGGCTCCTCAAAAGGCTGTTTATACATTGGCATGAACTTAGGAAAATGGCTGCCTTTGGTCATTAATGCTCTTAAGCTTCTTGTCCAATCCCAGGGAACCTGGCACAGGCAGCTGTGTGATTTGAAATTTTTTTTTTTTTAGCAATTTTGGGAAAGAACTCAAACATCACATTCCAACTATGTATACGGGTCTAAGATACAATGGTAATTCTTATAAATCACCATTTTGTGTGTGTTCCGAAGGGACTACTTAGAAGATAGTACTAAACAATTTTTACAGTGTCCATAAGAATAGCTGTCACCCCATGCTGTTCATGTGCTGCTCAGCAAGGATCAGATATAAAGTAAGAATGAGTAAAGCAATATTACATAGCTGATTGCTAGTTTGTCTTGTACAAATTATACTCTTGAAAGAAATGTTAAGAAAATCTAAATCACCATTTCCCCATCTTTGCAATGTATTAAATCTTAGCTGCTGTAACCCAGTTGATAAATTAAGAGACAAAACTATGCCCTTAACTAAATCACACATGCTATTTTTGTCTGACTTGGAAATTCAACATTTCCATCTTCCCCCAGGCAAACATTAGCTTATGTAACAACTTGAAAAACATAGTATTCCCATTGCTTGATAATATGTAAGCTGTTTTTTTCTCTGTGAATCTAGTCCTTAAGCAAATGCCAGTTGTTAGTGTGAATTCATTCTTCCAAATGGGTGTTGTTGCCAAAACTGGCAAAAATGTGGCAAATCAGGGTCACATGATCATTGGATGCTACAACCCATAATGGCAAGCTAATTGCCAAGCACCCAAAATGCAGTCATGTGACCATGAGAGGATTGTTCCAACATTTTACAATGACCAAAAATGTTTTGTGGGTTATAAAGCACCCATTTTGTCATAATTTGAAATGGTCATTAACTGTAAATCAAGGATTACCTATGTATTTGTGTTCTTTTCCCAAATAGCCTGTTTTCTTCATCAAGGCTGGAGGTCTCCAAACTGGCTGGAGAATTCTGAGAGTTGAAGTTCACAAGTCTTAAAAGTTGCCTAGATCAGGATCTAGGCATTCTCTGAAAGGATTCTACATTCTACACCAACATGGAAAAAATTGAAAACTGATGAAAGGGTGATGAGTTCCAAATGATTGGGGATACCGCTATGAGGAGAGAGATAGTATGAAAGGTTTCTAAAAGTGGAATCAGTCACTTCTGCATTTCTGTCAGCAGAATCCCCTTTAGCTGTGAGTTATTTTGGTTTTCCTTCTCTCATGGGTAAAATAGAATTCAAGATTCAATTAAATGATTTCATGTGAAGATAGGCAGAATCATACCCTTAATTCATTATAGTGATAATCCAACAAAATAATAATGCAATATACCATTTTTAATTAATGGAATTTCCATGTTAATTACAAAACACAAAAAGATATCCTCCAGTAGTACACGTATTATATCTAGATACAAAAGCCTAAACTTTACACATCTTGAAACTTTCTAAAGTTATTGATGCAAAATTTCCATGATCCTTGATGGATTCACAATTATCCTGAGATAATCTATATAGATGGTTGTCCAGAGAAAAGGGGAATATTAAACAGCAAGGCTAATATGGCACTCAAAAGCAGAAGGTGCAATTACATTTTCATATTAATCATTCACAAAATAGCTCAAATAAATATTTACCCATCAGATACCTAACAGAAGTTGCTAGCAGTCCAATTAACTGTTCAGATCAAATAAAAATATATATTTCCACATCACATGCAGCTTCCACCTTCACAAGGTATCTCCACTGAGAACTCACTACAGAAATAGTATCCAAAACTACAAGTTCTCAAAAATCACAAATCTGGTTTAAATAAGGTGAGAAATAATGGTTTTACAAACAATTTGGGTTGATATGTTGAACTTTTTCAAAAAGTTTGTAAAGTAGTAAATGTCTGTTGCTCTAGCTTAAGATGTAGCATCCAGGTGGAAATATAAAATTGATCTGTTAACTCTCACTGATGGCCTTACATTGTATTTGATTGAGTGAAGACTTCAATTAACACAACAACACTGTTCTTCCTTTGACTCAGCATGCCCCCTTTTCACACTATTTCTTAAAAACCATTCAACTCTGCAAAGCAAATTTGATATGGGAAAACTGTTGTTCACATCTTCATGATGAATAAAAGATTAATGAGTCCTAGTTTTCAGAGTTTTGTTTAGGAAACTTCAGCTGAAAGCATGTAGGTTTGTTAAATACAAAGGAGGAATTTTACCCACAATAGAATGTTATAGCTGTTCAGTTCTTCTGAAAAAGAAAAGTATTCTACTGAAGCACCCTATTTTCCACCATTTTCAAATTGCTATGCAATGTTTACTATGAAGCAATTTCAATCTTTATTAGATCTTTCTTCCCTGCTTAAGAAGAAAAACAGTTTTAACTATGGATATCTAAATAAAGTACATGGATGCATATATCCCTACCAACTTAACTGTTGCTAAAGGCAGAGATTGACCTTGGGATGCTGGTACAGCTGTGAAGGTTATGTACATGATCCACACAAAATACATAGTTGGTCTGAAAAGTCCTGAAGAGGAACATCCATGAGCTTCAAAGCATTTTCTTCTCTTCAAATCTGAAGCACGGTGCACTGAAACAGCCACTGTTTAGTGGTTCTATTTTAAGTATACAGTAACAATACATTGGAAATATCTTCTCTGATAGATGTTAGGAATGATTATATACAGACAGAAATATATACAAAAAGGTTTGTACATTAGAAAAAGATAATTGCTTGAGGAATGAATCAAGAAGACTTTTCAACACAATCTATGAATGTACAGAGATCAGAGGAAAACTGTTAACACATGCCTAAATAGCTAGCAGATTTTTGACATAATACTGCAGGTTTTTACCATCTTTTTAATTTTTTTTTAAGTCAAGTGTTCACTTCGTTGGTCTCCTTAAGTACAAAGGATCAGGAACGATATAACCCTGTGCAATCAAGATGTTTAAAGACTTGAAAAAGCCAGTTTCAAGAAGTTTAGCATGAGACACTGTGGCAGGCTGCTGTAATTAAGAGGCCATATTCAAGAATCGGATGGTGCTGAAGGTACCGGCTAGCCAATAACACCAGATCACATTCCTTCAGTTAAGTTAGTGATAGCTTCTTTCGCTTACACCCTTTGTATTCTATTAACATGAAGATGGTGTAAGCTATGATTATGTGATACCTCACCTCTGCAGTGTCAAATACTTGCCAACACCTACTTGACACAGATTTAAAGAGCCTCTTTATTTAGCAGCATGGAAAAGATGACAGTATTGTTTCTCCAACCCCCACCCCCAGTCTGTGAAGTTTAAGAAAAAGTAAATGGTTTCTCTATCTCAAACTTGCACTCCTCTAGTTTTTTTTTTCTGTAGGGGGAAAAGAAACCCAAGTAATTTTTTACTAGAATCATTAGATGCAAATATAATACTGTTGTTTCCAAAAAGAGGAAGAAAAAAATCAAAATAAACACTAAGTTCTACTGAATATTTATGTACAAATTTGGTGCAATGAAAACAATGTTTTGTTTTAAGGCAGCAGTACTATTTTTTCATTCATTTTCATATCTACTATAGGGATGGTCGGAATCCTGGAGCAGACCTAAAAGATAAAATTACAAGAAATTATTAAGGTAGAGATTACAGAATTCTACTTTGCTGAACATGGTGGCTAATAACTATTAAGAATGGAACATCCCAATTTCTGTATGAATATAAAACAAGGGGTATTTTTAGTCATAACTGCAAAGTAAGTGCTGGTTGACAACCTCTCTTAGCACTGAGATAAAGGGAGTTTAACTCTCCAAGGCTTGGTTGATCTGTGTGACCTCTGATATTGTGGTATTCTTCTGGCACATCTTTATAACTGGATGTGGCAACACTATCTTGCAGTGGATCTCCTCCTTTCTCCAGGTCATTTCCAGATGGTGGAAGAAGAAATCTATCCCAAGACTCTTTGTTTGTAAGGCTTCTTGTATCTTGATGCTCTCCTCATACATTATTTCTACAATTGCAAGCACCAAGTCAGGTTTCATCCATATGCAGAGGTTATCCCATCATCTTGAAGCCAGGATAACCATGAGATACTATGAAATTCCTGCCTCTGTGCCTTCTTGTTAATGACTGAAAGGAGAAAAGCAAACCTGGGCTCAACCCTAGCTAGACTAAGTGACAGAAAATTCAAGGGTTCCCATTTCCAGAAACTATCTAACTTTACACATTGATGGAATTGCAGTTTCCCAGATAGAACTGCTGTTGTTGCATAGGTGGGACTTTTCTAGACTCGACTCTTGCTCAGGGAGCAGTTAGCAGCTCTAGTCAGAAGGGTCATTCTATAGATCCATTTTGTGCATCAAATGTCCGTCTTTAGCAGATTGGAAGGTCCTCTTCCTGGTCACTTATAACAATAGCAATAGCAGTTAGACTTATATATCACTTTATAGTGCTTCACAGCCCTCTCTAAGCAGTTTACAGAGTCAGCATATTGCTCCCAACAATTTGGGTCCTCATTTTACTCATCTCGGAAGGATGGAAGGCTGAGTCAACCTTGAGGCTGATGAGATTTGAACTGCTAAATTGTAGGCAGCTGGCTGCAGAAGTAGCTTGCAGTACTGCACTCTAACCACTGAGCCACAGAGGCTTCTTATGCTTTATGCATGATGCATAATTATTAATAATTAAATAATTATGCTTTATGGTTGAATATTTGCAATGAACTATGTGTAGGGCTGTTTTTGAAAACCATAAGCTATGCTTGGTAAAGAATGCATTAGAATAAGTGGTTCTGAAGGCACTTTGGTTCAGCTGCACTGTCAATAGGCTTCTGGGCAAAAATTCAAGGTGCTGATCACTTTCTATGAAGCCTTTCACAGTTTCGGGACTGCTTATCTGTGAGAGCAACTCCTCTACTGTTATGTCTGTCCACTTTAATAGAACTAATAATGTGGGCCTGTTCTATGCCATCATTTAACACTAATCTCATGGGGGTGTGGAGATATGCTTTTCAGTGTCCATACTTGCCCTATTGGATAGTGTTCTATCTCCTGAGGTCCACACAGTCCTAACCTGATGTTATTTAGGAAAGTCCGCCACTGAGGTTCTTTCCACTGGCTCTGGAACAAGTGATTTGGGACCCTGAGCAGAAACCAGGATTTTGTTCCTTAGCTGTTACCATCTCTATCCCCAAGATAACACTACAGTTTTGACTTTTGTTTACTCTCATTTTATTTCATGATGCTGTACGTTGCCTAAAATTATTTGAGGGCTATAAATTGAATAAAAAAATAAATGAAATAGAAATGAGGTTACTATAATTCAGTAATGCCCAGTAACAGAGACATACTGATTTTTACTGTACAAATTTATCCCACTTAAAAGGATTTGTCATAATACATAAAATTAATTTTCTATTCAAAATAGAAAAACTGACAACTAGAATCTCAAAGGATATTTTCTTGTCTAGCATCTCAAAGGATATTTTCATAGACAGATTTTTAGTTCCTACTAAGTGTAGTTTAGCTTAAGTTCCGTGGAATAAAAAAAATGGGCATCTATGCATTAAACTGTAAAAAATGCTAAATCCTAATCCCAATTAAAGTCTAGAAGCCTTCAAACCATCCTTCAAGTTAATCCAAAGCGTAAATCATTCATCATCCATCAAAAATTTTAATCAAGGCAGAGTGCTTCCCAGACAGGAAGAAGTTTCCCTGTGTATATACTAACCAAATTACTCAGCAGTTAAATGAGCAATTGAGATTGGCATATGGTGCTTACATAACAATTTATGGCATTGCAGGATAAGTGGGACAATGGCAGTATCAATACAGTTTAAAGGGCAATCATAACACAATGCAGGAAGGGCATTTATGGAGTGCTTCTGTTGCACTAAGTCCTATCTTTAATGTCAAGGACAAACAAGATTTTAATCAGTAAGTTGCAGAGATAATTGTAGTGAATATCCATACTGTAAACTTCATTCTAATGTTCATATTTGCAAATGCAGACATACATGTATAATACCAAATATGATATCCTATTCCTATGCCTCATTATACATTGCATAATTTTAAAAAAAAACAAGACTATTGAAAATATTACATTCATGATAGAATGCATACAATTATAAACTCTAGAAAGGGGAAACTTCCACAGAAAAGACAGAATTAATGAATAAGGGAATTCTCTACAAATATGAGGTTGTTATTAAAAACAACAAACTCATGTCAGTTTGGTCTGGCCTGTTACGGTAATATCCCTTCAACTTGTGTTATGTCATTACATGGTGTGTTTCCAAATCATTTTCAGGGGAGATAATAGGAAATGGGAAACACCTAATGTATTGGTAGTTACTTGGTTAACTTGTTCATGGCTGCTTGAAGTTAAAATTATGCTGGATTATTGGTGCTTACCAATGTTCTTTGAAGTTCAAGCCATCCTAGAACCCCCATAGTCAAATGATCACAATCTATGCAACAGGCTTGCACTTACAATGGTTGCAGTACCCTGTAGTCATGTGACTGCGATTTGCAATCTTTCTAAGTAAAGTCAATGGGGAAGCTGGCAGAGAAGGTCAAAATCTATTTGGATAAGTTTCTCCCACCCATGCACCCACTTCAAGGCCCCCTGCACACCATGTGCCACCTGTACACCTTTGTGCACCCTCCTGAACCTCACACCGTGCCTCCTCAGCTACTTGTGCAACCTCTCCAGCCATTTACAGACTGTTACCAAGCCTTGTTGAGATTGTATGTCTCCCTCACCACTTGTGCACCCTGAACAGCAGCCACTTACCTGCCTCCCAGCCTACTTCAAAGTCACCTGGGATTTCCTGTGGGCTTTCCCATTGCTTTGGGTTGTTGAAACCTGGCAGGAAGGAAATGCTCACCAAATGACCCATGGTCTTCACTTAGCAATGGCTAAGTGGGGGCAGGGATTGCCATTATTAAGCAGTGTGGCCACCTATTATTCTGCTTTATGACCACATTATCCCAGTTGCCATCATAATATAAGGCCCACCTGTACTAGTGTTTTCTTTGAATCCACTCCCAGTCTGGCTCATCACAAATATTTTGGGATTTTTACTCCTACAATATTGAGAAAATTGTAGCTTTTGAGAGTAAAAACCGAACCATAGTCTATCAATAACACATGGGACCTTGGTAATCTTTGACCTTGGTTGTTGCACTGATATTCCCTAATTTGTTGATGAAATATATGCAAGAAAACTCACAGAGCACCAGGGACCTTACTGATCAACCGTGAACTGCTAATATTCCATTCCTTTCTATTGATGCTTACTCTATTCTGTAACAAGTTTCCAGTCTAAAGAAAATTATGGAAAACATTGCATTTTTCTTCTAGAATGTACAAGAATACAAATATATTTCTAAAAAACCCAAATCCTTAGTTTCATTTAGCAATGAAAGTAGAATTTGGGCAAAGTATATTCATTCAAGAATATATGGGAAAAAGACTGACAAATCCTTGCACAAAGAAACCACTCATGTGGAGCAGTCCACTTTCGAAGTGCTGCTGCATTCTTTCCCTCCACCCCCCAAAGGACCACAGCCAGAGTGAGGGACACATGGAATGCATTATCAATGTATAATTACCATTTAAATGGAGAAAGAAGTTAAAAAGGGGGTGGTGGAGGAAGGGGAAAATGATTTTTTTCCCTAACAAAACAAGTCTGCAGTCATCTTAATTTAGAAATGTGTTAGCAATTATTTCCCTTCTATTATGCATTCATGCATATATATGAGAGAGAATTCCTTTTGCAAAATAGAGTAAGCAACTGCTTATTTTATTCTTCTGTATCCAGGTGAAACACAAGTCGCTTATTTTAATTTATGGTAAACTGTTCCTTATGCTTTTAATAGCTGGGTTGAATATGCTACTGATGGGTCAATAATCTTTATTTCTATTTTTTTCCCCATACCAAGCAACTGACACATTCACAATTAAATAGGCCTGAAGCATTAAAGTAGCTAACCAACCTTTTGGTGTTAGTATTCAAAGCTTGCCCTTCATTTTTTAAAAAATGCACCAAACAAGACAAAATTGGATATTTTTGCATGCATGCAAAGCATGGCTTTATATTAACCCATGGTATGGCGCTTACTAGTGAAAACATACAAATACATCAATCTATTTTTTTTTTCAAATTGTGTTTCATTGTCCTAAAACCAATTACACATTAACTCTGATTATATATCATTATTATATGTGATATGTGAATGCGGTCAAAATTTTGAATGTACTACATTGGATTAATGTTATGCCAAAGGCAAACATTTAACCTCAACAGTTAACGTGGACTAGAAAACTGTATTCAGGCATTGAATAATATGCATGAAGAGATATTGGTTAAACCTGCCCATCACTTTACAAGCAGAATGTCTAATGATGCAGGAAAACTGCTTAACCTCACAATTTCACAAATTGCACTGCAAAACACTAATGATATAGGAACAAATTAAATAAGAGGTTCCCGTAATCAGCCATTTTCCTTTGCTAAACAGAATTTACATATCATGCTTACAAATACTGTTGAGATAAAAAGCTGCAGATGGGACTTATGTTATACATACCATATTTTTTGCGTAGTTCATCATATTTCGCTTTTCTTTCATGTTTCCTGCAAATATTATTAACATATTAGAGAATACAATGAATACTTAAGATGATAATTGTAAAATAAAAATGACAAACCAGTGCTAACTCATAATATTCTGTATAGCTATTAGTAGGGAAAATGGATTACATCTAGTCATTTCTATCCATAAGTTCAATTATCAATCATATCGTAAGTTACAATATTTCTGATACTGCAGTGTGATTTTCATATCTGTAAATACTTCTGCACCATTTGACTCTATCCTCAGTTCAAAGTTGTTTTCCCTCCTCCAAATTTTATCTGTATTGATTTCCAATGATTGAGCACACATAACGAATGTGGTATGAGTACCAACCAAACTTTAAATTATAGCATATATAATGGTTTGTAAAATGAAAGTTTTCTTTGAAGGTAAAACAAATTAAGTTCTGGATTATGGCACTTTACAGGAAGATTAAGAAAATGTCAGTAAATATAATACTGTATTACCTTCTACAACAGAATATTTCAGAATATTTTTCCTAGTTTTCAATCAACCCCTTTTAATGAACTTCCCTGGGACTGATAATCTCAGTAGCTAAAATTGAAAGGACTGCAGATCTGTTGTAAACAAACAGCTCAAAGCCAACAATAAATTTTGTTTGACTTAAGAGGAACCAAAAGACATCCATACCTACCTAGCAGTGATATCTGTTTAATTCCCATAGGGTTTACTGGATAGATACATCATAAATTCTTTCTTAAATTTAATTATATCTAACTGATCTCTGGACTGCAATCCCCACATTATAATTGCACTTTTATTTAAGATAAAAAAAAATGTAAGTAATTTCTGCTATTGTTCTGAAGATTATAAAAAAGCAACCTTGTGATCCACTTCATGAGAATAAATACTTGCCTAATGTTGGCTTTTACTGACCCATAATGGCAGTGTTAGAATGTAGTACAGGTAATCCTTGGCTCACAACAGTTTGTTTAGTGACCATTCACAGTTGCAATGGCACTGAAAATAGTGACTTATGACCATTTTTCAGACTTACAACTGTTACAGCATCTCTAGGGTCATGTAATGTAAAATTTGGATACTTGGCAACTGGGTCATATTTATGACAGTGGCAGTGTCACATGACATGAACAGCTTTTTCGACCTACTGACAAGCAAAGTCAATGGGGAAGCCAGAACATTTAATAATCGTGTTACTAACTTAACAACTGCAATTATTCACTAACAGATGTAGCTAGAAATGTAAAATGGGGCAGAATTCACTTAACAACACAAATGTTTGGCTCCATTATGGTAGTAAATCGAGGATTATCTGTATTGCAGGCAAACTACCCATTGCCAAGAGTTCAATCCTGACTGTCTCATGGCTGAGTTAGCTTTCTGTCCTTCCGAGTAGGTAAAATGAGGACCCAGAATGTTGGGGGTAAGATGCTGACATTTGTAAACTGCTCAAAGAGAGCTGTGAAGCAGTCTATAAGTCTAAGTGCCATTGCTATTTATGAAAGTGGACAGTGAAAAGAAAATACAAGGCATTCTTGTTTTGACTTCTAATGGAGATTATTTTGCATTTTAGAAGAAGACTGAAATTGATACCGCTATGGAGCGGCTACAGGTAGTCCTCAAACTTACAACAGTTCGTTTAGTGATTATTCAAAGTTACAACCGCACCTAAAAAGTGACTTATGACCATTTCTTATACTTTATGACCACTGCAACATTCCCCATGGTCACATGATCAAAACAGACACTTGGCAATTGACTCATGACAGTTGCAGTGTCCTGGGATTATGTTATTACCACCTTTTGCGACCTTGTGACAAGCAAAGTCAATGGGGAAACCAGATTCACTTAACAACCATGTTACTAATTTAACAAATGCAATGATTCACTTAACAATTGTGGGAAAAAAGGGAGTAAAAGGTAGTAAAAATTCCCTTAGAGACAGAGATTTTGGGCTCAATTGTACTCATAAATCGAGGACTGCCTGCAATCTGATTTACCTCTTGCCTAGATTACTGCAACATAATGTATATGCGCTGCTCTTGAAGACCCTTTGGAAGTTTACAGCTAATCCAGATTGCAGCAGCCAGCAGTCATAAGCATTTCTTGGTACCCTAAGAGAGACTATTGCTATGTCACCTATTTGGCTACAAGTGGACATTAGGATAAAATTTAAAGTGCTGGTTATTAAATAATTTCAAAATAAAGATAGTAAATGTTTAATTTTACACAAACACGCACTTCTTGGATCTCTCTTCTCTATCTATTGCAGCTGTAGAGTTAAAAAGTAGAAGGTAAGATGCTGAATTAAGGGAACAATTCATCCTTCAGAAAGAAATATGTCACACAACAGCCAATATATGATTAGTGATAGAAATATATAGAAAGAATCAAGGCATTATTGCCTCTGGAGATTTTATTCATTTTTAGTTCCAAAAAGACATGGTTTCTCAAATTTTTCTTCTTTCCATTTACATCCTAATGGGCTTCACTTCATTTGGAATAAACCTAAACCTATCCTTAAGCTTGTTCCTTCTTTGATTGGGTTCAGTTAGCTTTTTTAATGCCTTCATAAGTAGGCATTTTATTTGTTATTTTAACAATCTCTTGGAAAAGTGAATAAGAGTTCCCATTTAGTTTAGTTTACTTTATTGTCATTGCACCTCATACAATGAAATTGAACACCATCTTCAGTGCATATCATGACCATGAAAATAAACACACACATCCTTCACGCTCCACACACTGAATTAAAAAACACCAACACTGCACCAACACTGCACTATACAGTAGAATTCAAAAGAGCTACTGCCCTGGGATTGAAGCTGTTTTTCAGCCTATTTGTGCTTGTTTTTATTATTCTGTACCATCTGCCAAATGGTAATAGTTCAAAAAAAGGATGGCCAGATGAGACGGCTCTTTGAGAATGTTTTGAACTTTGTTAAGGCAGCAGGAGCTATAAAGCTCTTCCAAAGAGGGGAGAGGGCAACCAATGATCTTCTGGGCAATTATGTTAACCCTCTGGAGTGCTGTCCTATGTGCCACTGTGCAATTGGCAAACCATACAGAGGTGCAGTAAGTTAAGATACTCCCTATGGGCAGCGGTAGAAGGTCACCAGCAGTTTTTCATGTTTTCTGAGAAGTCTCAGGTAGTATAATCTCTGCTGGGCCCTTTTCACCAGTGCTGCAATGTGAGCACCCCAGGTCAGGTCCTCTTTTATGGTAACATCCAGAAACTTAAAAACTGGCCACTTGTTCCACTCCACATCAAGCCTTCACGTGAAGGTCTCTCTATCATTTTAGATATTATCAGGGAGACAAAATGCTTATCCAGATGGCTCTTGTTCTGTAAAGCCACTGGACATTTCTGCAACTTTGTTTAAAAATGAATTATATTTCACTAGATTTTATGTATATTTGTCTGTGATTCTTATGTACATGAGTTTTTTTTAAACTGAACAATATTGAAGCCCCTAGATAAGGCATGTACTTTAAGAATATATTTATTTGATTTCTATATTGGAGTTCTGTACTGGATTTCTACCATATTTTCAGTGTGGCTACCAAAATTTTAAAAAAATTTACAATTCTTAAAAACTACAATTGCTAACATGCTCAATTAATAATTAAAAGCTTAATGAAAGAGCTGTCTCTTTTCAATTTTTCTATATGTGGAAAGAAGGAAGCAATGTTTAACTTCCAAGGGAGTTTGTTCCATAGCCCACAAGCAATAGAAGGTTTTATTCTTCATTCCAGATTAACAATTGGGCATTTCCAAACAATTGGGCATTCCCCTCTGACAGATAGGAATGGCTGCAAAGGTTTGCAACAGAAAAGGTATCTTGTAAATAGCCAGGCACTGACTATTTGCGAGGGAGGTAAACGGCAGAAAAATATGAAAAGTAGTAAATAGAGTTTTTGCTGTGCATCTGATCAATCCTAGTCAACCAGTGCAATCTCTGCAATGCATACACATAAGAAAATTTTATTTATCCTTACTTTTTGTACAGAACTGAATTCCGGCAGAATACAGAGAGTATTTCTTGACTTACGAGCACAGTTGGGCCCAGAACTTTTTTTGCTAAGCAAGGCACTCATTAAACTAATCACTGTGGTGGTTAGGCAAACCATGCAGTCATTAAGCAAAACCTGGCTTTTTCCATTCACTTTGAAAACCTTTGCTGGTTAAAAATAGTGATCATGTGACATGCAGCAACTATCATACATGCTGGTTGCCAAGGGCCCAAATTTTGATACATGATCACAGGGATTCTGAGACAACAGTCAAAGTCACTTTTTTCATAGTCACTTTAAAAGCTTGTTAAATTATTAGTTGTAACTCAAGGACTACCTATAAAAAGCAGTACTATGGCAGGGATATTGGCAGAATTTCAACCAATGAATAGCCCATTTCAACCAATGAATAGCAATTTATTTCCTGCCACACTTCTCCTTGTGACCAGCAATAAACTTGGATCCTTGCTTGCAGCAAGCCAAAAAACTATTTTGAAAGCTCAAAGCCTTTCATTAAAGACAGGCTGAAAGGCATCAGGATTCCTTTTCTGTTTCTGCAACCTAATAATATTTCTGTAGCCAAATACTTAAGATTGGCTAAGATAGCAAAAATTTCCAAACTTACCGCTGAGCATGTTGCAGTCGTTTTTCTTCCCGATCTCCAATAAATGTTTCTTCTTCTTCACTAGTTACTCTCCTGAAATGAGAAAAATTTTGTGAACTTTTCAGAACAACTTTATGTCAGGTGGCATTAAATTACAGAACTTATAACATTTTTAATTTTACAGCCTCAAAGCATGCCCCTTTAGAAACTGTAAGCTAATCAGAAGTAATATGTAAAGGGGGCATGCTTTACTGACTTTACTGACCAGGTGTATCTCAATCCCACATTATTAATTCAATTCTTAAATTAAATTAAACTTAAATTGATTAAATTCAGATTTAATGTACTCTAGATATAGTAAAGTGATTTGTTTTATATAAAAATGAACTTCATCTTATATACTCTCATACATTCAAAATGGATGATTTGTCAGGATACCTGAAATGGCAAACTGAATAATGAATCCAGCAAGTATTACCGAATTTATTTTTTTATTAAGTAGAAATAGTGACCATTCTCTACTTTCAATTCACATGGAAAAACAAGTGTGAAAAAGGATCAATAGAAAAATAAATATTTCTTAGCTATTAACTTTTGATTTGTTAGACAAAATAGGACATTTCATTTAGTACTACAATACTTTGACCATTTCAAGAAAGAATACTGACATCCAGTGGACATGTTATGTAAAAGATTAAATGTCATTAATTTATACATTTAATAAAAATGATCTACAGGACATTTGACATGATTTATTGGTATGTAAGTGTAGTTTAAAGATTAGTTTTCTCAACAAGTTTGTATTTAATATTGTATGTAAAGTTTACAATATCAATAGGGACTGGAATTTCCATCAAGCGACAGAGTCATAAAGAACCATGGCATGTGACTGCATCATTTAGTGACATTAATCACTGCCTTCTTCTTGTTGTTAAGCGAGGATCATGTATTTTTAAGCTAGAATTCACGTGACATGACTTGCAGCTTCCTGCTAGCTTCCGAGAAAGTGAATGGGGAAGCCAGCAGGAAATCACAAGGTTTTGGTGGTTTACAAATAGGCAGGCAAATGAGTACTATAAGGTCAAGCAAGGCGGGAGGTTTGTGGTGAGTGTATGTGGGATATGGAAGGTGGGCTGCTGTGCTGCATAAGTGCATGCTAGAAAGAGCGTGCTGCGATTTCCCCAACTGGCTGCCCCATTGATTTTGACTGTGGGGAGCCAGAAAAGGAGATTGCAAATGGCAATCACATGGTTAAAGAATACAACAACTATTTTAAGTGTGAACCAGTTGCCAATTCCCCAGATTGTGATCACACTGGGATGCTGGGATGGCCAAAACTTTGACATCTAGTCATACTGTTTTTTCAGCACCAAACAGTTGCTGAATAGTTGTCAATCAACACCTGTAGGTTACTTGTTTTTTTTTCTTTAGGGCCAACCTCCATATAAGGGCAATTGAATGAGTACAGGCAGTCCTCGACTTATGACACTGAGTCCAAAATTTCTGTTGCTAAGTGAGATATTTGTTAAATGAGTTTTACCCCATTTTCTTGCTACAGTTGTTAAGTGAATCACTGGAGTTAAGTTAGTAATTTATGGTTGTTAAGTGAATCAGACTTTCCCATTGATTTTGCTTGTAAGAGATGGAAAAAGGTGGTAACATGACCCAGGACACTGCAAGTTATAAATATGAGTCAGTTGCCAACCATGTGAGTTTTGATCACGTGACAATCAGGATGCTGAAATGGTCATGTCACTTTTTTCAGTGATATTGCAGCTTCAATCAGTCACTAAATGAATTATTGTAAGCAGAGGACTACCTGTAATCTAAGTACTACCAGAGTCCATCTTGAGAGATCCATTCAGGAAGCTTTTAAAAAACTGATTAATGCATACGGTATTTTCACAGCTTAACTGATAGGGAAAGGGGATAACTCATCACTGTATATGTATTCTACCTCCTATAGCCTGAAAATTCAAGGACATATCAGATTTAGTCAATTTAATTTAAACCAACAAGGCCTGGGAAATAATATATGTACCAAGTAATGGGGTTTAATATCACTATCAAAAGGATTACATACTTGTGGATTTATTTGACAAAAAATATTCTGTAAAAAATATTCAAAGTTCTGGAAAATGAGAATAGCAGATTTTCTTTTTTTAAATGGAAAAAGTTAAATTTGTCTTCTCTAGGATATACTATGGCCATCAACATTCTACTGAGGCTTAATATCCCATGCTATGATCAGTTTTAATATTCTGGCACAGTGTTGTGATTTTTTTAATCTTGTTGTAAACCACCCAGTGTCATATTTACTTTATAAGTATGCTTCATCTTGCATGCATTTGGAACAAAGAAGAAAATGCTCCACACAATATCTAATATACAGCATCTGCCAAATATAAATATTAGTCACAGCTTTAAAACTTGTCATAGATAAATCAAATGTGGTAAGGTTATGCAATCATAAATCTCATTTTTACATTTTTAAGTAATTTATTGTTGGGCAGATCCAACCACATATTTTATTTTCTAAAATTCCTGTGAGGTCCAGAAAGGCTCCAGAGATATGGTAATAACATATTGGTCATAACAATGTTGGTAAAAGTTTTATAGCATCCCAATTTTTCACTTAATTGTGAGTGGGGTGAGCATTATATATAAAGACTCTTTAAAAATTATTCAGGTAGGGAAAGCCTGGAAGATGCTAAAACAAAACTCTATATGTCTAATATAATCCATCATACCTAGAGCTAAGGTCTAATATTATTTCATTGTATTTGTTGCATTTTCAATGAGAATGCAAGATGGTAGTTATTCAAGATGCTATTCCCTTGCTCATAGTTTCCCTAATTGTTTTTTATTTTTTTCTTTCTAGCATGTAAATAGGATTATATAGTCCTTCATTTACAACCACAATTGAGCCCAAAATTTCTGTTGCTAAGTTACTTTACTTTATTCTCATTGCACCTTGTACAACAAAATTGAACACCATTTTCAGTGCACATCATGACCATGAAAATAAAGAAACACACATCCTTCGCATTCCACACACACTGAATTGAAAACCCCGATAGCATACCAACACTGCACTATACAGTAGAATTCAACAGAGGTACTGCCCTGGGATAGAAGCTGTTTTTCAGCCTATATTTGTCCTTGTTTTTATTATTCTGTACCATCTGCCAGGTGGTGATAGTTTCAAAAAAAAAGCGCCCACAATGAGATGGATCTCTGAGAATGTTTTGAACTTGCTTAAGGAAGCGGGAGCTATAAAGCTCTTCCAAAGAGCGGAGAGGGCAACCAATGATCTTCTGGGCAATTATGTTAACCCTCTGGAGTACTGTCCTATCTGCCACTGTGCAATTGGCAAACCATACAGAGGTGCAGTAAGTTAAGATACTCTCTATGGGCAGCAGTAGAAGGTCACCAGCAGTTTTTCATTCAGTTGTTTTCTGAGAAGTCTCAGGTAGTATAATCTCTGCTGGGCCCTTCTGACCAGGGCTGCAATGTGAGCACCCCAGGTCAGGTCATCTTTTACGGTAACACCCAGAAACTTAAAACTGGCCACTTGCTCCACTCGGTAAGCAAGATAGTTGTTAAGTGAGTCTGGCCCCATTTTATGATCTCTTTTGCCACAGTTAAGTGAATGGTTAAGCAAATCTGGCTTCCCTCATTGAATTTGCTTGTTCAAATCAAATAAGCTACAAAATAGTCACAGGCATTTGATGACAAAGCAGGAATTTGCTTAAGATGAAAACTTTAAATTTTTAGTCCTTACAGTTTTTACATATTCAACATTGTTTTTTACCTCAACTTTGTCTATAAAGCTGTGGTAAAGGTTAGGGAAGAAGGGGTTTTCTCTATCAAACAATAAGAATAAATAACCTTTGCTGCATGTGTTCTAATCCCAATCAACTTCCCTAAAATGTCTCTAAACAATCTAATATTGTTTATGATAGCATTATGATTTACCTACAGTTGGATTCTTAAGAAAAAATGTGCTAAAACCCACAAAAGTTCTCTTCTCAGAAGGAAAAAATAATCAAGAAAAACTATTTAGAAAAATGTATGTACCTTTCAGACTTCCGGCGACATCTGCAACATCTGCGACAGCAATAATAGGAGCAACAAATTATAAACACCAGAATGATGCCTACTACAACACCTATAGCGATGACGATTGCTTCCAAACTTGCTGAAAATCAGAAGTAAAAAAATGTTAGAAAAGGTTAAACAAAAAAGGTAGCTATTAGAAGAGTTTGTCATGGAAAAAAAAGTGATTTATGTCCATTATACTTACAGGCATATTCTTATTAAGCACTGTTATGTACCTGTCTGGTAAGGGTGATCTATCACTGCAATATCTATTTGCTAAATTTAGATAGTTTAATTTATGAGTGTTCAGTCATCCACTTTTCGTAATCCATATATCAGTACAGTGTGTGTTCATTTATCATCTACTTCACATTAATAGGAAGATGTCATGAGATACAAAAATGAAAAAGACTATGTAATCAATGGAATCATTGTTGAGACAATGATCCCGTTAATACTTAATGCTATGCCATATCATGATTTGTTTGTCTTTAGCTTATCACAGAACATCCCAAGAAAAAAGTTTATTTAGAGTGGAACAATCTGCATATCACACCAAGCTGGAAACAAACCATTCTATTGGGAAACAGTGCATGAACCAGACAAATATCATGTAGTTACAAAATGCACTACCTCTTTTATAAAACAATCATTTATAGATTTAACAATATTTGTCTTTCGTAAACTCCAATTTACAGCCAATTTTTCTATTATGGAGAGCCTTCAAAGTGGTTAACAAAATTATAGACAAATACTGAATATAACAATGTAAAATATAATTTAAAAATATTAACAAAAAGTAAAAACATATTAACATTTGAAAGCCAAATAAAAGCAATGCATTCTTACAAATTTCTAAAAATTTATACTGGGGTCAAAAACATTAGAGGGCATTAGAAGGATGAATACAGAACAAGATGCTTTCGTCTGTGCAAAAAAAAAAGCGGGGGCGGGGGGCAGACTACAAGGGCATCTTTAAAAGGTTCCTTCCTGATAATCTTAAGATTATCCTAAGAATTGCATCAAATATCAGACACATTTTCCACATTTAGTCATTACAAAACTATTTTCTTGCACTGAATACATTCTCTCTCATGTTTCACATTCATACCCAAAAACCTCTCTTGGCTGTGTTTTGATATAACAATAAATGTTATATAGAATTCATTGTGATGGAAATACTCCAGAGAACCAAGGCTGCATGATCAGTCCTTATTTTTTCCACTTATGGAGCAACCTTTATATCTTTCTACATGAATGGAAAGTGGAAGAAAATTATTTAAGGAGTATTGGGAGTCTATCTGTGTCTGTCCATCTGATAGCAGGGTAATTGGAAAACAGAACAGAATAGATCAGATCTGATATGGGAAGAAGTTGGCAAAAGAAAGACTGAGTTTGGAAACAAGCTGGATCAGGCCAAAGGTTGCAGAGATAAATAAACTTCGGTGCACCCCAATGCTAACTGTTCCATTTTAAGCTTGTCACATTCCTGGTCACATGATCCAGTGCAGAGCATATGGTACACAACTCACTCTGTACTTCAAGTTCATGTAGATACACAGGAGAGTGGAAACACACATACAAAATATAGAACTCCCTGACAGCAGAGATACTATGAGATAGGAAATTATATAGCCATCTCTTGAGCACCCCTGAAGAAAAACAGAGTTAAATGCAGGTGAAAATCTTCTGATCGTAAGGAAAAAGATACCTATCACCTTCTCAACAACTTTTCTAAAAAGGAAAGGTTGGTGATGGATGATTGTTGCCCAACAAAATAAAGTCCAAAAAAGGCCTCTTGAAAAAGGAGTGAATTACCATCTCCTTTCCCACCGACATGCATTAACCTCTTGGATCTTATGTGCCTTTCCCAGGGGGTCAACAAAGATGGCAGATGTCACAACACAGGAACTTTGTCTACTTCTTCAGGATCAGTTAGCTAAAAGTCAACCCAGTAATGTAGCAGAACTATTTTTCCAGTTATTTCATTGGACCTGCACAACTGGAGTTCAACCCAAAGCAAATCCTAGAGACTTTACCCAAATAGATACTTAGAAGAATCCTCATAGCAGCCCTACAAGAGTTTCCCCAATCATTCCTTGTCAAGAAAATATCGCTCATCTAAAACAGCTGTTGCCTGAGTATTTGTCGATGCAGCAAAAGTGGAGAAATACACTCTCTTCACTGTTCTGATCATAAGGAAAACTGATTCTCAAGTTTTTTTTTTCCACTTCCGATAGGGTACTCACTCAGTAAGAGGTAGTGTACAATATGGGAATCCTCCTGGAATTGTAGCTCCTATTTGAGGAACAGCGGCAGCTGTAACCAAGGGGACCTTTGCAAAAATTCATCTTCCCTGCCAATTGGGCCTATTTCTGGATGATGAGACCCTATTTCATGGTCAATTTTTTGTTTGGATTATGGTAATGAGCTCTACATAGTGCTGGCCTTGAAGTCTACATAGAATTTAGCTTGTTCAGAATGCAGTTGCCAATTTTCTCTTGCATGAAATTCAAAGTGCTGTTATTACTTGTAAAGTCCCATATAGCATGGGACCAGATTATTTAAGGGACAATCTCTTCATCAGGACAGCTGCTTATCTCATTAGATTGGTTAGGGTGAGTTTGCTCCAGGTACCCACTATTAAATATTGTACCTGGCACATCTTAGAAAACAATTTTTTTCTGTAGCTGCATCTACCCTATGGAACAGCCTCCCTTGAAATATGGAAGACTTTTATCCTTCTTGCCTTCTGAAAGGCCATTAAGATCTGGCTGTTCCATCAGATGCAGAAAGGAAACCTATGTAGTGTTTTTTAAGACAATGCTGATATGGCACTGATGATGTGTTAAAGAATTTTAATATTTTTTTTTTTAACTGTGTTTGTTGACCCACTATGGCAGGGGTGTCAAACTTGTGGTCCGGACACATCATGTGCTGGCCCCGCCCCCACCCAGTTTAGCGAAGGGGGAAAAAGTCCCGATATGGAATGTGATGCCACCATGATGACATGAGTTTTACACCCCTGTCCTATGGTGTTTTACATAATACTAATAGCCATTTTTTTTTCCAATTAAATTAACCATGATCCCATCTTGCAGGAGACACTGAACTGAATGTTCTTCCAAAATGACATTGTAATTATGTTCTGGCCTGTCCTAATTTAACATATATACAACATTACATACCCCAACATATTACCCAGTAAGACTTCGTAAGTGAACACAATGATGATGGCGGAATTATTTTGTTTACAGGATAATCCATACAAGTAGAATTTGGACTGCACCAAAGACACTATGAGGAAAAAGAATGAAAAATAAAAACAAGTTCATCAGGAAGTATGATGAATTAAATCAGCAGTTATTATTATTAAATCAGCAGTTTTACCAATGCTTTTACAACATTATCAGTATCAGCACTGGCAATTTGATCTATATAAATACTTAAAGTTTAATTTTTTTCTTAATTGCTTAATATTTACACCCCATCTTTATTGCACTATTCCAGGCAGTTTTCATAATACTCTTGCCTCCTATTTTCCCAATATACATCTGAGGTAGATTGGGCTGAAAGAGTGGCTGGCTCAGTCACCCAACCAGTGTTCATAAGAGAGGAGCAAACTTTGGAATTTCTTGATATAAAGTCCAGGATCTTAACATTTAACACTATAACAAAGTATCAGTTATGGCAGGAAATGTTTTGTCCCATTAACACTTTATACAGATTGAATGAAATTATGCCATATTTCATCTTGATTTACCAAAAATACAATTTTAAAAGGTTACCGAAGTATAACAGCTAGCACATTTACCTTACAGATAGTCCTTGACTCATCACAGGGGATACGGGAACTCTATCACTAAGCAAAGTAGTCATTAAATTGCACACAATTTTATAATCTTGTTTGCTGCAGCCATTAAGTGAATCACCATAATTATTATAATTATTATTATTATCACTCTGAATTCATTCAATTTCCCCCACTGACTTTTCTTATTGGAAGCCCCCTGAGAAAGTCACAAATAGTGATCACATGATCCCAGGATCTGGCAATTAATAAATACATGCTGTTACCAAGCACCCAAAATTTGATCATGTGATTGTGGGGACACTACAACACACATTAAGAGTGAAAATTCATCATGTCACTTTTTTCAGTCCAGTCACAACTTAAAATTGTTCTTAAAATAAATAGTTGTAAGTCAACTTCTTTAAATTAACCAGAATATAAGTAGTCCTCAGCTTATGACTAGCAAATGTTCAAAGTTAAATGGACCCCTAAAAGTTACAAGTTGTAAAGTTCAGACAGCCAGGCCCACCTTCTCTATGACCACATGACTACACTTTGGGTTTCAACAACTGGCTCCCACATTGCTTTTACAGGGTCTGTAATCTACACTTTTGCCAAAAATCAGCATGTTCCTCCAGTTTTTGGCAAAACCACCCACAGCAATTAATGGGGGTTCCTTAACAATTACTGCATTCACTGAATGACTGTAGCATTTGCTTAAGGTCATGGCACTGCACTTAAGAATTGCTTTAAAAAGGTTACAAAATTGGGTCAGCCAAATGATTATCATTTTACAATCAACATGGCTTATGCTCATAATAGGCAAGATCCATTTCTTTTTTAAGTTGAGAACATCATATTATTTCCCATTCTTTATCTTGGTAGCTGAAAATATATTTTATACCAATCTGACCAAGAAATTAAAATGTAATTTCCCAGGAATTCAGAATCTTTACACTGATTTACTTATAAAATTATTCTGTTTAACAATTACATTTATGAACATTGCAATGATGAAATCCAGATGTATCATTCTTAAGAATAATGCTGGCAAAGCTACAGTAATTTCCCTGCTGCAATTTATCATCCTATTATCAACATAACTCATCATATCCCAGGAATTTAGGACTTAATGATTCTAAATCATTTATGTTGCTTTAACAATTTCAATATGGCTTAGAAGGTATTTCTTGTGAAAAAAATTCAGGCTGCATAGATACTATTTTTATTAGAAAATTGGAGCTGGAAGAATCAGAAAATTTTATCAGTCTTCTTTCCCTTTTCTACACACTTTAGTGGATTTACATCTGTAAAACAATTAACTAGATCTGAGTAAGGAAAGGGAGCATTTTAAAACATTACTAACAAAATAATGGCTATTTACTTGACTGTTGCAATGTCAGGCTTTTCTGAGGCCAATTAGCTGTTCTGTTCTGCTTCCTGAAAAAAAAGCGAGTCAAACAACTCAAGGATCCTGCCTTAATGATCCCACTCATGAATGAGGAGGTGAATTTTGCTTATTCAAGTTTCTACAATTTCATATCCTAATTTCTTATTCCTAGACACATAATCAGATTAATGAAACATGGTGTGACTCTTGCTTCGCTGACTGTATTTTGCTGTTAGGATCTTCCCACCCTCCTTTTATCAATGATGTTCTGGCCTACTTGTCACTGTTTCTCTCTTCTAATATATCCTGGTTCTAGCCTCACTTTTGTTCTTTTCTTTCTCTTTTCTTGCTAAATCTAAAGTTCTGACTATAGCAAAAGAATAGAAGAATTTTTAATTAAATGGCTATCCTAAAGGGAAAAATATTGGGATAGATGCTATAGTCGAATAATAAGGTCATTGTTATAAATTAAGCCATTCTGTATAAAAGTTTATTATTCCTCTGCAATATTAATCTCAACTAAACAAGTATTTATGCATGAATAGTTCACAATCCAAATTGAGGAAAGTAAAACAAAAATCAATATTGATTTTAAGCCATTATTAGAATTTACCTGGACACGAGATAACCGTGATATGAATTCATGCCAAGAGAGTCATTTTTAATTAAAAAAATACACAATATTGGTGGTCCTCAACTTATGACTGTAATTGTTCACAGATTAAGTCATAAGTCACTACAATTGTCAACCCAGTTATCACATGGCCAAACCCAATTTTACAACTTTTGTTGCAGTTATGCAAACATCATGTTCATTAAATAGTAAGATAGTTTAAGGTAACACTGTGATTGTATGAATCCAGTCTACCTAATGGGTGTTTTTTGTGGAAGTAAAAACCAAAAACTAACAAAGACCACTGACAATCATGGTCAGGTGACTGTGGGATGTTGCAAACAGCTGTAAAGACAAGCCAACTGCCAAGCATCCAAAACATGAGCATGTGGCTTTGGGGAGATTTGCAGCTATTGTAATTTCAAAATTAGGTCATAAGTAGCTTTTTTTTATAATTTCAAATGATTAGTAAGCAATCAGTTGTAAGTCAAGGATTACCTATAGTCACATTTAATTCAGTTTTAATATATGCTATACATTAAACACATTCATTTGTAGAATTCAGAGACAGCTTTTTCTTTCATGTTATGACAAGCCATGTTTAGTAAATAATTTACAAACTCATATTTATCTCAGTCCTTGATTCACCCCTCCTTTCAGACTTTGTTTTCCTTCACGAATAATTAAATATATTAAGATTTGGTACTTAACAAATCACAGCTTGTACAACCAACTGGGCAAAACTAAAATTGTGATTTAACACAATTTCAAAAAAGGGATTAAGAGCCCAGATAGGAAGAATAAATTTGAAGTTTCAATTACTAATTACCAAACCATGGCTTATTCCCATCAATGAAATACTTTCTTTTTCCAAATATTTATGACACCTTCCTTATATTTGAAAACTCAGCAGAAAGCTGCTGGCTACCACAAAGATAAAAAGAAGCTGTAACTCAAAACTGCACCTTTACTGTATACTAGGGAATGGTAACCATAACAGAGAGCTAACAACTGCTGAGTGGGGTAGAAATACAAATTCATAATTTATAGCCAGCCAGATCTCAAACCTTTTGTGCTCTCCTTGCAGCTGCACCCTTCTTTGAAAATTTGGATTTCTTATCTATATCCCTCAGTGTCCAAATATGGCAGTCTTTATATTCTCTGCATTCCAACTCTTTTGTTCACCTAGCCCACCATTGTAGGGTGAAAATCCTTAAGTCACTGAGCTCTAATTGTTGTCTTATAGTTGCCAACCATCTATTATTTACTGATATCAAACAACGAATGTTTATATTTTTAAAAAATATCTGTCCCTACCTATAAAATACAATAAAAATAGATAAAATTTTCCCCTGGTTAAATAAAAATGAAAATACTTACTGCAGTATTTTTTATACACATTTCACATTTCTTTCCAGTGAAATCAGAACATGCTGGAAAAAAAGAAAAAAATGCATGGGGATGTTTAAATCTGAAGGTTGTAAATTTTCTGACAAAAATGTATAGAGCAGCAAAAGCTTTTTGGATCCAAGAGAGTCAAAATTTCAGAGTGAATCAAATATGTATAACTACTTCAAAAGCTAATGCTTTTCAGGATGCTAGGCTTTAGAAAGCTTGTTATATAAATTTCAAATACACCTAAATAAAGTACTGTTATTGAGCAGCAAAGTACATTTTATAATAAATTCCATATTGTAACATAGTAAAGATGCTCAAAACTAAGTTGCAAAGCATATTCAATGTATATCTGTAGTACTGTACAAAAACATTAACAAGAATAAAATGAAAATAGTATCTATAAACATTTATTTTTTTATATCTTGTCAGCAGCATTTTCTAGTAATTTTTAGCTACAGAATAGTCTTAAGAACTGCAACCATTTCAGGAAAATTTATTTGTAAAGTAATTAAAAACTAACTTACATTTACATATCTTACAACATTTCACTTGGGTATTTTAAATAGATGAGTTCTATTAATTTAAATGGAAACTTCTGCAGAAACTGTGACCCAAGAACTATAGAGTAACATAAAAATGGACTGCATCTGCCACATGCCATAGGCAGATTAACATCCCCTTTTTTATTCTGAAATTCTTCCCTCTCCTTCCCAACACTTTTAATTATAAAAACTCAAGCCACTTTAAATGACCTCTAGATCAGGTTTCACTGACACAAAAATTAACTGAACTAAGGACTGAGTACAGTCAATGTGTAGGGAGAAGCAGAGATTTCAATATGCTTGCCACTTTCCTAGAGCATCCTTCCACTGGTGCCACACTGGGAGGGAAAAGGCAGGATGAGGCAGACAAAGCCGAAGTCATTCACTGTACAGTCATTAATTGAAGTCCTAAAGCAAGACTGCTTTGGGAAAAGAGCGTGCAAGATGAAAGAAGAATTTGCAATCAGCAAGCCCTGTCAAAGTGGAACACGTTTTTCCATGCAAGGGAGAATAGAATACCATCTTGCCCAAGCAATAAAAGATAGTTGCACTGTGCAGCCCCTGCCAGCTCCACTCTCCCCCTTGTATCCTGCTGCTGCATTCTTGTTAGTGTCTCCAGAATCACAAGGTGCTTTTTTCCAAAAAGCAACTGGATTTTTTTTCTTTTGAAAACATTTCACTTCCAATACAAGAAGTTCCTTCAGTTCAGAATTAAAGGTTTCTTAGATGAGAAACATAAAAAAAAAAAGTCCAGTTGCCTTTTGAAAGCACCTTTGGGACAATCATGATCTGGATGATTTGAGAATCTTCACAGACCTCTCTCCAGAGCTTTTCTCATCCATCACCTCAAGAGCTGTGCCAAGATGAAGGTTCATGAAGGAATAATCTTACTCCTTTGCATCAACTGCCCCTCTCCCAATGCTGCACATCCCAAACATGGTTCAGTTTCTGCTCCAGGCAAGCCATTTTCTGCCTGCGCCAGTCCTACAGAAGTTGTACATACTTGTCAAATTTAGTCTGTTTTCCATTAAAAATAATCTGAACTAATTTTTCAGGAAACAGTTGTGCAGCAGACATAGCTAACGGAAGACCTAATTTTCCCTACAAGAGAATTGCTAATAACTTTATTTATTGGCAGCTTTTGATTAGACAGGATAATTATAGAATCATAACTTTAAGACATGTTAAAATGTTTTTCTTATAATTGCTGTGAAGAGTGTAAGAAGTCATTCTGTATATTTATTTTTCCTGCTATACTTTTTTACTTTTTGACTTTTAATTAATTTGTATCATTATGTATTTTGTTCAATAGCAACCAAACTGAATATTGATGTTCTGATTAATATAAAATCTTGCAAGATAAGCAGCTGAAGTGAAACAGCAAAATAACTTACCTTCAATAAAGTGTTTAATTACATTTACTGTGAAACTATTCATTGACCTTGGAGACTTTTGTACCAATGTATGAAAATTGTTATAGACCTTGGGCAAATGAACCACATGACTATGACAATGAGAGTTCTTTGCCCTAATCCATCAACTTTCAAAATTTGCATTTTTAAAACGAATCTGTTGGGATTGAATAAGCTACAAATTACTAGAAAATAAAAATCATTTAGTAAATTAGAACTTAAAATGATTAACTCTCATACTATGACTTCACCTTCAGAGATATTTTAATTCAGAAATGTTATTGAGAGGTAAATAAAATTCCTTCAACTAGTCTTAACCTAAGGTGTCTCATATGCCTGTTTTTACCTTACATTTTAAAATACCAACATTACTCTATTTCAAAACCCATAATACCCTGTCTAATTCAGTTTCAACTATTTTGTGAAAAATATAGGAAGTACAACCTGCAATAAAATCAGGCAGCTCCTATAGGAGTTTCAGCTAAATCATCCTTTCTTTTAAGAGGAATGTCGTTTCCACAACCTCTTAAAAGAAAAGGCCCAAACCTTGAAGGACCAGGTAAATTCTGTTAACTGTAACCATTTGATGCTCATTGAAATTAAGATGAATTAATTAAGCTTGAGAGTAATACAGGTTCAGGGAAGATGGAGTAAACAGAGGAGGTCAACACAAGAGAAGGAACTGTATCCAAGGAAATGTTTAGGTCAAAGTAAAAGAGGAAACCAGGTTACTGGAAAGGATATGTTCATCTGTAAAAGACAGAAGGGGAGGGTCCAATTAAAGCTGATTATTTTTAAAGACGCCTAACAAGACACCCTGGGGCGGGGCGAATGTACGAAAACACTACACCCCGAGGCAGAGTTCCTGACTCTTGTCACCTCCGGAGCCATCAGGTTTGTGACTCTCAAAATACCGAGCCAGTAGGACGGGGCTGGACTCTTTCTCCACATCTGCAAGACGCCTCTCGGCCAGAGGAAAACGGGGAAGCGCCGGTATCCTGAAAGGACTCTGGAAACATGGACGCCAAGAGAAGAGGGAAAAGGACTCTCTCTCTCTTCCCCCCCCTCTCCCCACCGCCGAAAAGCTGCACATGAGGCGGGAAAGGAAGCCGAGCCTGAGCGGCGGGCCATGCTCCCTCCCGCAATGCAGCCCCACACACCCCGCCGGGCCAGGGAGACAAGACCGCTCCTTGCTTACACGGAGCAGGAGTTGGCAAAGGCGACACAGAGGACACCGTGTCCAGTTCCATCGTCGGACAGATGCATAGCAAGACACACAGGAGGCCCAGGGTCGAAAGAAGCTTCCAGGAGGTCATGGTCACCACCATCAATTCACCCGACGCCAAACCGACAAACTTCGCACTTCTCCTCCCACCTTCTCTTATAGAATTCAGGGATAACTTATTCCCTGATTCGCGCAAGCGCACTTAAAACTGCGTGGGCTAGGCCCAGGCCTCCCAGCGAATAAGAACTCTCGCTACCGCCCACGTGGCGTTTACTCCGCCCCTCGCGGGAGCGCTCTCGATCCGCGGTGTAGTTTCTAGAAATGAAGATTGCTGGGGGTCGGGGGATCATTGGCTGTGCTGTAAACAAGGCGGGTGGCGGGTTGTATGAAGTATTTCTATAGGGCGGTGTTCCTCATCTTTCAAGAGGGATGGACTCCAACTCCCAGAATTCCTCAGCCTACAGTAGGCTGGGTCCAAGAACTGAAATTAAAGTCGTAGTGGAGATTGAGAAACTCTGCATGCTTGACTGGGGAACTCTGGGAGTTGAGGTCGAAGTTGCTGACGTTGAGAAACGCACCTTGACCGAGTATTTTAAGGAACAGATTGGAGCATCATTTTCTTTGGTGGAAAGTTGCTGACACCACTGTTACCTAATGCAATGCATGCATTATCTCTGTTTGAGACTGCTGTGAACTGCAAACCCCAGGCAAGGTCTCATTTAAAAAGTTTGCCAGACCAAAAGCTTAAACGAATTCTTAAGTTGTCTCATTCTTTTCAAATTCTTTGCTAGAGCCGTATGAAGATTCTTCAACTATGGTTCTCAACCTATATGGCTATAACTTTTTTAAAAAAATGAATTACAAGAGTTATTTTGAAGGAAATATAAACAGGGATTGCTCTGTCAATTAGTGCAAGCTCTTTAGGTTACCAGTAAAATAACATCTTACCTTTCCCATTTTTAAGAAAATGCTGTATTGCAGTCTTGAACTTACAACTGTTCATGCATCAACTACTGAAAATATGATGGTGCTGAATAAAGGGACTTGTAACCCGTGCCCAAAGTTATGGCATCCCTGTGAACAGGTGAACTCATTTTGGAAGTTAGGCAGCTTAAGTGTAGTTCCAAACCCAAGGGTACCGTGACTTTCCCCACCAACCTATCTTCCACCACCACCATCTCAGTCAGCAATCTAGCTAGTCCATCAGCCTGTGCAAATAAGGCTGGCCCCAGGGCCACTAGCTTATGGAAAACTGCTCAGCTCATCAGACCAGCCCCACTTCAGATTTTTTTTCAGCTGACACACCAGTCTATGCAAAGTGTGGCTTCTTGCCTCCTTTTGCCATTCTCCAACCAGGCTCCATTTTTGTGATTCTTTGAAAGCTGATTTGGAGAAGGCACATCCAAGCTCCTGACTCCATCTGTTTACTGACCCAGAAGCTCAATTAGCAACTGCAATTGTGATTCTGTGCCCAATTGTGGTCATAAGTCTACAAATCTTTAGCAATTGTTCAGTTAGAACTGTGATGAGTTAATTCTGCAATAGATCCTGGCATTTATGACCTTCACAGGTCTGTAAAGCAAAGGAAAGCTGATTTCAGATCCTAAGCAGAGTTGTGGTTTCACATAGTGACTGTTTTGCTTAATGCCTGAAATGCTTGTCCCAATTGTAGTTGTTAAACAGTAAAAACCATCTTCAAATCTTTAACTGCTACCTTTTGAATCCTGCCCCACCCTCCAAAGCCCAATGAGAATATTTTGGAAACCTAGGATACTTAACTAGGAAGGTCTAATTTGGAACGCTGAATGAAAAGAGCAGAGTGAATGAAAAGACAGACATGAGATACATATAAGTCTAATTCTTATGGTATACTAAAGCATAGTGTGAGTAGTATTTTTCACCTTAGCAGGAATTTGTACTATTACAATGAAGAAGACTTTTGTATATATCAAACAATGTATTGTCAACCATTGCAAAATAATGTTTTATTTTTTTATTAAAAATACAACTACATAAAACATATACTATGAGATATTAAATGTCAAACCCAGATTTCTTTACAGTAAGCAACTTTGATTAAATTAATACACTTCCATGCAACACAAAGATAAATTTTATTCTAAAACGAGTGGTGGGATTCACGTCCAAAATTTTCATTTGAAAAATTACTCTATTTAAATCATGCCAGGCAAGATAAAATTCAAAAGAAACAGATTAATGTTATACCCAAGTCACAGTTTAATAGCTTCTCCATGCACAGGCAGTCAACACTGTCAAAAAGCCCATTTATAATAAATATTAAGAAAATATACAAAATCCAACTAGTCAAACAATTCAAATTTTCTTCAGCATCAGTGAGGGAATACGGTCTATCCACATTAAGGTGATTAGCTGGGGAATGAGACAAATGGCACAGAGCTGATTCTATTACTCTGATGCCACTTAACATGCTGGCACTGATGGTAATTTTCTCATTTTGCTTAGAGGCCTTGTACTCTTAAAACAGAAAAGCAAGATGGGCAGTATTGAGCTTCAGATTTTGTGAGGTAGACCATTGATAATTGACCAAGGTTCCTATGTTTATAGCCTGTCTGGACACATATAAAGACTACAAAATGATATACTTTTATATAACTTTATTAACTATATGACTATAAAAACAGGAGCAGTCAGCTCCTGTTCAGTTGCCTGTGGTCCATGTGGCAGAGAACTTTGTCTCTGAAGATGCTAGATAGAATTGCTGCAAAACATCAGAAAATCTGTTCCCTAAACCAGTCACTAAATCCTGAAGCTCAACACTGTTAAACAAATACTGACGTGAAAACCTATCCCCAGAAAAGCAAATTAGTATTTGCAAAATCCCAATACATTGAGTTAGAATCCATAAAAATATAGAACTTTAATGTAGAACAGCTACCTATGGAGTCATGACCAAACTGAAACATAGCAATCCTTGATAGCATTCTCCGAGCCATCTTCTTCAAATATTAAAAGCACCAGCCATAATACAAAGTGTATCCTCTACCATCTAATGAAACTCACCCAGCTCCCAAAAGATCAGCCTGACATACTTTCTTTCAGAGAACTCGAGCTAACAGAATACAGAGTACATAATGGAATATTTATTTTGGAAAACAGTTCCACTGTTTTGAGTATGTGGCTAAGTATGTGGCTATATCCATGCCACTTCAATCTATAGAGTATGCTTTTTCTTTTTTTCTTTTGCTTACATTCAATTGTGTCTGATTATCAGAAACTGTCTGGACAAGTCCCTGAAGTTTTCATGGCAAGTTTTCAGAAGTGGCTTGTCATTGCCTCCTTCCTAGGGCTGAGAGACCAAGTTCGCCCAGCTGGCTTTGGGCCTAAAATGGGTCTAGAACTCACTGTCTCCTGGTCTCCTTGATACCTTAATTATTACACAATATCCTCAACAAAGGGTAAAACAGAACCTCTAAGCTAGGTACATCAGCCCCATCATTTATATTGCATAATGTAACTGATATATTGTATGCTAATTGTTTTTGTACCTCCTTTGTTTTTATACAAGGAGCTTAAAGCAGTATTCATAGGACGTCCTTTCATTTTTCCTGCAAAAACAATTACGTGAGGTAGGTTGGCAGAGAAAGAGCGACTAGCTCAAAATCACCCATCAAGCTTCTAAAAGACTACAGGTAGATAGGAATCTGAACCTCCACATTTGTTGTCCTACTCATTAGTAAGATGAGAATTGAAGCAGAAGAAGAGGAAATGATCAGAATGCAGCTGTTTTATTTCCCTAAGATTTCTAAATTCTCCAAAAGAGAATAGAAACTGAATACCTGAATGGGAGAACTGAAAACATCGTTATATGTTTGTCATTGACAGAACATATAACTTAAAACCTGCCCTGCATTTTGAAGCTGTTTTTATGTGTAGCTCTCATTAACTGCAGCTATTTGAAGGGAATTGTACTCATTTCCCATTTATGAATTTCAAGTGCAAATATAAATCCTTTCTAACATTCTATTTTTAGTTGTAAACAGTGCGAATATCACTGTTAAAGTGTAACGTACTCAACATTTCTGAGAAATTCCTGATTCAAAACAAAGTTAAAAGGTCTCAATGACACAGGTTGATGTGTATATAATTGGAATGGTAAATGCAAAATAAACATTAATATAGAACAATTTCCAATAATTTACCTAAAGAAATGAAGTTCATAAAACTTTGCTTTCTTCAATTTTTTTTTACTATTTTTACTGTTTAAAGCAAATTAAAAAGTAATATTCTTAGAAGTCAATAAGAAAGATATTAGATTTAGTTCAATTTCCAGGATATGTTTAAAAGCTTTTGAAAATTCTTATTCGCTTAAAAAAAAGAGATCAAATAGCATACTCTAAAGTTCATATCTGCTTCTGGTACTACTTAGAAAACAGTAAACACCAGAAAATTGAGGGCGGGGGGAATCCTTCTGAGGGCATAAGAACATTGTTTCTGCAAAAGAAACAATGTGAGATCTACAACCAAGCCAATACGCTTGTAACAATACAGCAAATGTTTATAATGATCTCAGCTTCAAAACTGTAATACTATATAAAAATATTCTATACTCAGTATAATTTATTTGGAACATGGCTTTCAGGAATCCACTTATAAAAAGTAACCCATAAATGTAATTCTGTACTTATTTTTTAAAAAAATCTAAAATCAGAAAGGTATTTTTCAATAGAGAGGAAGATTTTCTTTTGTTAACAAATACTTAGAATACTTATGATTTTAAGTATAAAGAAAAAACTCACATTAGCTATAAAAATATTTGATAATAAAGAGATGCATACCATGGTAGCATAAGCCCTTAGGCAATAGCAGTCCAAATGATCTACACTTTTGATTTTGCCTCCATAATCAGTCCTGAGACTATTCTGATATTGATGTTACGCTACTCATAGTTTGTCTGTAAACAGACTTTTACATAATTTCCTTTGTTGAAAAAAAAGGTTTAAAGTTTTTCTTTAACTAATAAAACGTTTCTTAGGCAATGTAGTTTTACTCCTGCTTATTAGCACTGTGCTTCTTTAGAAATGGCAATCTTCACAGGAACAAAGTTAACAAACATTAAAAAATGTTGACAAATATATTTTGTGTATGCATAATGAAACACAATAGGCCCAGGATTGAATGTGTACATAAACTATTACTTTGCATACTAA